AAGATAAAATTATGCCCTGTTATTCCGTGAGTGTCATTCTTCGTATTTCGTTACGGTGTTTGGTATTGCTGATAAGTTTCACATTAAAGTGTGTGCCTTACAATAATATTATTATATCTTAGACTTTGGTGTTATGCATACTAATCAAGTTCTTTTTTTTATAAAATGCCTTTTAAAAGGCAGTTACTTAGTTATGTAGTAAATTTATGTTATTTTTTATTATATGTTCAGAATACTAAGTATTAATTAGCTTAAAATTCTAGAAATGAAAGAGAATTTAAGTAAGTGATTATACGATTCTGGGAGCCGAAACAACGTAAACGCCTAATAGCTTTTTTTTTTGCCTAATAGCTTTGTCGCGACTGTACATAAAGTGGAACTAAAACATACTACAGCGCCATCTAACGACGACACACCAAACTACAGAGTAACTGCTAATGCTATATCGCGGTATGAATAAGTTTCAGACTTCCCCAACAGTATTAGTTGGGCCATGGCCTCCCATGGTATAATCACCTCGCGTGGTCGGAGGATCCTCCCTTTGTGTTGGAAGGGCATAACACCCGTTCCTCCACTCTATTCAAAATACGTTTTAACTACATATAATTATAGCATAATAAAATTAAAACTAAATGCTGTAGTGGCAGAATAGAAGTCAAAATAAAGGTATACTATTTATCTTATTACTTTCAACATCAGACTTTCGCTGCCGAGCCCTATTTGTTGAACTCGTGAAAACAAATCAAATGAGTGTAAACTACATGGTTACTATCAATACATAATATGTATAGCTAATGATGTGTGTTATGCCTGAGTTTGTTCATTATGAAAGAAAAACGGCAGATCCTGTACCACTGGTAACTTATTATTGATGGTTGTGATTTGTACCGTTTTTAACGTTAGTGTTCTTAACTATTTTCATGTAATTATCATACCTTTAGAACTCTGCTAAAAGTAAATAAATTCTTCTTAAAAAATTGTTACAATTGCAATAACTAAACGTTCAAGTGTTGTTAACAAAACGCATTCCTACGTTTTCCAAACTTGCCATGCATTAAATATAAATTGCATAAAAAACGAACAGAAAAAACGATTACATCGAGATTAATGAATGAGCTCACTCGTCTATTTAGCAGTTGTTGAAAACGAACATTTATTTATTAATAATCTTGACTGTACAGATTAGACGAAGTAATAAAGGAATGATTATTTTAAATCAATTAATTTAAGGAAAGGTTACTGTTATTCAAATCGATTCGATTAATCGTGAACATTATGTAAAAAAGGTAATTAATCCGATTTGACATGGAAACATTTTATTAACGGATTAAAATCATCTAGGTTAACGTGTTGACAGCAATGACAACTCATTTGTGACAGCCAGCTGTCATTGGTACAGTACAGACTATATGCAAACTACAAACTGAAAGAACTTTTAAAAACTCAAAGTTAAAAAAATCTGGCAATAAAACTGTAATTGTTAATGATATTATCAGCCAAGTAAATACAACAATAATCCCTACCGTGAGATACGCAAGGTGTACAAAAGTACCATACATGCCTGCTAGAAAAAGACGGTGTAAAGTTCATCCAGAAAAAAAAAACAATTAATTACATACACAGGAGCGAATGCCCGTTCAATATTAGAAGCAGGTTCGATCATGATCATCAGATCTTTAGATGATCTGACATTGAACTTAACGATATTATGAACTTATGACCCGCGTGATGTTGTCTGTTTATCTCAAAAGGAATAAATTTGCCCCCTATTTGCTATATTTTTCATTGATGCTTTGCTCTTATCGCCTATACCGTTCCTCGATAAATGGGTTGTCTGACAGTAACGAAATTTTTCAATTCAAACCAGTAAGTTTTGAGATTAGCGTGTTCAACCAAGCAATCAAACTCCTTTGTTTTATAATATTAGTATAATTTAAAGCTAGCTAGACTGCACGGATGACGTAGTGGTTTAAGCGGTCGCCACGCCGCTTACTACTACGCTGTGTTGTGGGTCCCATCCCCACATAGGACGACACTTTGTGCGATCCACAAATTGTTGTTCTGAGTCTGGGTGTTTTAATGACCTTCAAAAAAAAGAGGCTTTCATTTCGGTTGCATTTTTAAGAATCGATTTCGGCAAATCTTTTTTAAGGATGTATTTCTCGTTTGGTGCCTTTCAAAAATGAAGAAAAAATATAAATATCACCTCTACATGATGTAGGTACCGTATCCGTGTGGTGACGGATTAAGTATACGGAGTGTCACCACCCCAATTCATCCCGTGGGTGTCGTAAGAACCGACTAAGGGAAAAAAAACTACAGGACAAGAGCGCTGCAAACAGTAGGAAAACTTGACACAAACCCTATGCCAACCCGTCTGGCCAGCGTGGTATAGTAGGCTAAAACCTCCTTTTTAAGGAGAGACCTATGTCCAGCAGTGGACTATCAAAGGCTGATGATTATGATGATGATGATGTAGGTAAGAACTCGACGATACATAAGTTAATTATTCATTCAAATATATTTAAACGTTCAAAGCTTTAAAAGATCACACAATAATTACATAGATATAATCCCAAGCGAACATATAGAGCCTTAGTATCACAGTCACTATTGCAACATTGTATGTTGCAGCAGCTGTTGCCAAGGTACTTTCTAATATTTACACAAACCACAACAAACGGTTACTAACTTTGAACATTAAGACGATACGTCCTTGACCAAAAGCCTTGGTTTCAAGTTTTCAGCGGTGGCATTGGCTAATGTTACCCGCCAACCGAAACACGATATGTTATGAGGTAATTTTATGTTACGGATAAACAACTAATATATTTGTAGTGTGCGTTAAAGATGTTTACTTAGACACGGTTAACTGCCGGAATGAACTATACTGGTATATAAATAGATGTGATTCAATTTGTTGTTTTAGCGTTTACCGTCTAAAATTAGCTCATTTTTAAGTAATCGTCTGTTGTTAGTTTGTTTACATTGAATTTTCATAAAGCACTACTTATTAATCGTAATGTCATCTCATTTTTAACTCGCTTGTATTAGCTTGGTATGTATGTACGTAACGGAATCTTCGAATGTGATTTTGACCCACGTCAAAACGTCGAATTAAATTGAAACTTTGCGCACATATCAAGGACCGATGACTATGCAATAATTTAAATAGTTTGTCACATTATCCTCATCAGGATCTTCAGGATTAACGGCTATTTTCATAACTAGAAATACGATGGTATCTTTTGCCACGTACTATGGTACTATACGTAACTTTTTTAGTGTTACTTTTTTAGTGTTAATAAAAATGTCTAAAAAACTAAAAATAAATTAGTTAAAAAAAACGTTTTTATAGCTAGCGAACTAAACACTAAAAATATTTTTCTATAGTTTACAAAGAAAAATTATTTTATCGTTTAAAAGCGTGGGGTGCTTTTCATGATGGTTTATAATATAATAACTTTTCTTTTATCGAAATCTGTCAGTAAAATATTTTTACAACAAATGAGATTTAGCACCCCACTTTTTTTTTAACTTTAATTTTACTACATCATCATCAACAGCCTTTATCAGTCAGCTGATGGACATAGGCCAAGCTGGCCCGACGGGTTGGTATAGGGTTTGTTTCAAGTTTTCCTCCTCTTTGCAGGGCTGTTGTCCTTCGTAATTTGCTCCCTTAGTCGGCTCTTATGATACCCACAAGATGAATAAGGTGGTGACAATCCGTATTCTTAATCAATATCCGTTACCACACGGAAACAAAACTTTTACTACAACAATATAAATTGGTAACTGATTTAATTAAAGGAGGAGGTATTTTATTTGTCCTCAGAACTCCGTTATTTATAAACCGATATGGATAATTAATTATCCAAATTTTTTATTTGACAGAGTACTTCAGATTTGGTACAATTCAAATTTGGAGGCAAATTACCACCCCTAAAAATTAAGAAATGACGAGACTGCTCGGATGGTGTAGTGGTTAAAGCGGTCACCAACGCCACTTACTACAACGCTGAGTGTTGTGGGTCCGATCCCCACATGGGACGACACTTGTGATCCACAAATTGTTGTTCTACGTCTTGGTGTTCTTTGTGTCCGATTCACGTATGTTTGTAAAGCCCCCTGCGATACAGGATATATTTCTAATGCGGGAGTTGTCTTAAGTACATTTTATTACAATCTATCATATTGTGGGCACTTTGAAGATGTCGGCGGTGATTGTTTGGTCATACTTTTTAAACATAAACATGAGCCCAGACCATCGTGAACGTCATTGCATCGAAAGCCGCAGTGACGTCATCGACGGTTAGTGCTCTCGTTTATGAAAAGAAGTATTTCAAAAGAGTTTAACATCACCCAATTAAAACTTACGCGTCTACTTAAAGTAAAACGACAAAATACCACTTTTCAAAGGCTTCGTGACATAAAAACGTGAAATAATTTTATATTTCTATTACTTTACATAGGCTTATTCAAGCTATATGTTTGTAAGGGCTTTATTTTTGTGTAAGGTTTCCATCTACGAAAGTAAACTTATGTTAAGGTAATTTAAATAGCTTTGTCGAAAAAGGCCCCGAATTTGGATAACAGCGTTCTTCAAGTTTGATTTTAAAAGAAGTATAACCTATTTTAAAGTTCGTTTAAATCAATTTACCAATGTCAGTATGACGTCACAACTCAGTATTTCATACAAATTTCTAGAGAGTCTACCGTTTTGACGTTTAATAATATTAAACTATATATATATAACTTTCCACAGTTTGATCCCAAACTGTACTATGGTAACTAGCTTGCTGATAAACATACTTATATAGGTATTTCTAAAGACTCACAGAACAAACGATCGTGCTCATCACACAATATATTTCCTGGGTGGGATCGAACCTCTGACTTTAGCAGTCAGGGTCACCAACCACTAGGCCTGTCAGATAAAGAAAGAACAGATTTAACTTGACAGTCCAATACCATATTAAATAAATGTATTTTTGTTCCAGTACCAAGTAGCGCAATTATATTGCGTGGCTGAGGTATCGAAAAACGAAACCGGTGGCGGTGAAGGCATCGAGGTCATAAAGAATGAACCTTTCAAAGACCATCCTCTTCTCGGTAAGTGATGTACATGATATGCCAAGTATTGCCTGACCTGGAAACTAACACGCATTTTAAATGGAAAATATGACTGGACTTGCGCTGCAAGGACTGAAAATGAAATATCGAAAAGTGTTCAAAACAATGCTACTTTTGACCATAATTCTACCAATTTACTATTGTTTTTTTTTAATATCTAACACATCCCACACACGGCCATCTGATCCTAAACTAGGCAGAGCCTGTACTATGGTAACCAGACTGCTGATGAACATACTTATATATTTCCAAATACATACATATTATAGAAAAATTACACCCAGACACAGAACAAATGACCATGCTCATCACAATTATATGTCCGGGGTGGGAATCGAACCCACGACCTCTGGAGTAGCAGTCAGGATCACTAACCGCTAGACCCACAGGCCTGTCAAATATACAAAAATTTACAACCGAATTGAACTGAACCTCCTGTTTATGTGAAGTCGGTTGAAAATTACAAAATAACAAGTCATATAAGCAACCTGTTGCACCCACTGCTGTGTAAAGGCATCTTCTCTATGCGGTTTTGTGCCAGCCGGATCCATTGCTCGCCTACCGCCCTCACAATGTCGTCTAACCATCGGGCAGGTGGTCTGAAGCCCAAGTGCGAGTTTATTTCGCATCAACCCACTCCTTACGATGACCACATTCGGCGTTGCAAATGGACAGCACTGAAATCTCCACTAATCACAACGGCAAACGCGCTCGAAGTCAAGACTGAATTGATGTGAAATAAACGTACACTTGGCACTCTGATCACCATATTGTTTACTGTACTAAAAATCAGTTAATGACATATCACTATTGATGATGACGTTATACTAAATTTAACTCACTGCTTCGCCCGCATGCAGTCAATTTTGTTAATCAATTCACCTTAAAAAAAGCCTTTATGCTTTATCTGTCTCCGTGCCAAAATAATCCAGATCCGTTCTGCCGTAATTGAGTAATAATCATCGCTATATTCATCCTCACAAACTTTCGCCTTTCGCATTTGTAATATTGCTCCTGACAATGATGTTCTAATAGAAATAGCCATCAACGATAAAACCACTTATTAAAATTAAATTTAAGATTGAGGCAGAATTACTCGTTCAAGCAAATTTATATAGGTACACTATACATGCACGTGCCCGTGCACAAATGGCTCCACCGAAGGGATACTAACGAGATATAAGCATAGAGTGAACAAGAGTCCCAATCTTGTAATATAGGCAACGAGAGAAATGGATAATAGATAGTTCCCTCCATCTCTTTCTAATCGAGCTCTCTGGTTGGCTAGGGAAATGTCTAATCTCCTGCCTGTTCTACTATCGGATATCCATCTTACTCGTTACCTGTATCGCTTCCACTTACAGCCAGCTGTCCCAGTGTTCTCTATCTATATGAGTGATAGCTTGGCATCAATCAATTCTGTCGTTGCTTTTCTCTAAACGAGTGCGGTTACTGGAGCCCAAACTCACCCTCCCCCTGTTCGCGATGGGGTGGCGGGGGGACATCACTCACAGGGTGGCAACTCACTTGTGATTCTTGAGTTATAGGTGTCGATGGGCTTCGATAGTCACTTACCATTAGGCTCGGGTACCTCCTATCCGTGAAAGAAAAGGTCTATGTGGCAATCCATACTAATTTTGTAAAAACGAAAATGTGTCTATCTGTCTATCTATCTGTCTGTCTGTCTATCTGTCTGTTACCTCTTCATGCTTAAGCCACTGAACCGATTTTTATAAAATTTGGTATAGCATAAGTTTGAGTCCCGGGCAAGGACATAGGATAGTTTTTCCCAGAAATCATTAAATCAAGTTTGTAGGGGGATCAATAGCCGCTAAACCGATTTAGATGAATTTGGTGTGGAGATAGTTTGATACACGCGGGTGGAGCCGCTGGCAAAACCTAGTATGATATAACTGTAATTCATTACGTTAAAATCATTGTATTGATGTGACCTTTATGTCTGGAACTGGAATAGTTACAGTACTAAACCGCCTACCTACGCATTAATCAACGATAGAGGACGCATTTACGCTATATTATATACTGAAACAAGTTTCACAGCTCCTCAATTCCATCAATTACCAATCTACTCTCAATTCACAACACTCCCACATTCATAAACACACTTTAGTCCAATTAACCTTTACCATATTCAAAAGCAGTCACTGGATAGTTTAAATATATTTTACCACTGAATTGGAATAACTTTCGGCGGAATATAAACTTGCAGAATTTCTCTCCCTCTCTCTTTAGGGAAGCGGGTGGGAGAGCCATGCTTAGGTACGATTGGGCCGGCTCGACCGGAGTGATACCACGGCCTCAAGAAAGTCGGTGTTAAAATTCTTTCGTTGTCTTTCACTGAGTGGGTGAGGTTACCGGAGCCCAAATAGCCCCTGCCGCTGACTCGAGCGGGAGGGACTCCAAGGGCAGCAACGCACTTGTGACTTTTGAGTTGCAGGTGTCCATAGGCGCCGGTAGTTGCTTACCATCAGGTGACCCGTCTGCTCGTTTGCCCCCTTATACCATAAAAAAATAACCTATTGTTACCACGTTAGCGGCCTGACGGGAGTTGGTTTCTTAAGATTTGTCCTTCTCTTACAGTTCTAGTGGACTTACGACATCCTAGGGAGTTTTAGTGTTTTGTACTAAACATTCAGGTGTCAGGAGTGGGCCGTATGTGATTGGTACAAGAGAGAAAAATTATTGTCTGATCTGAATAATTATAACTGCTAGAATTCCATTGTTCGGAGTACCATATATTATAGTGGGCCTGTTGGCCTAGTGGTTTGTGACCCTGGCTGCTAAGACGTCGATTCCCACCGAGGACAATTATTGTGTGATGAGCATGATAATATGTTATGTGTTTGGGTGTAATTTATCCATAATATGCATGTATTTAGAATTATATAAGCTTTCTACTGCGCTGAGTGTTGTGGGTTCGGTCCCCGCATGAAACAACACTTTGTGTGATCCACAAATTGTTGTTCCGAGTCTGGGTGTTCTTTGTGTCAGTTTAGTGTATGTTTATGAATGGGGACCCGCTACACAGGAATGTAATCTTAATGCAGAAATTGTCTTTAAAAAAAAAAGTTTGTTTATCAGCAGTCACAGGATCTACCTAATTTGAGATCAGACAGCCATGTGTGAGATATGTGAAGTTAATATTAGTTAGATTAGTGGTTCGGTCATATAGTGTGATCTTAGTGAAAACCGTCGCTAAGCAATCCTAGTTTGAGTGCCTCATTCTGGGGGAGGCACTGAAAGTGTAGATCACTCTTGAGTTGTAGGTGTCCATGGGCTGTGGTAATTACCATCAGGTGACCCGTCTGCTCATTTGCCTTCATACCATAAAAAAGTCCACTGTGCCGCCCTCGGGCAAACACACTACGTTATTGGCTATTCATTTAAAAAATATTATTAGCATCATTGTATAATGCACTAGTTTATCACTGTAGTTGTGTTCATTTCATTGTTTTAAATGTTCACCTAATCTGTTTTTAACCGACTTCCAAAACACAAAAGAGGAAGTACTCAATTCGTCTGTTTTTTTTTTTTAATGTATGTTTGTTCGCGATTTCTCCGTCAATTGTGGACCGATTTTCAAAATTATTTTTGTAATCGAAAGGGTATGCTCCCGAATTGGTCCCATTACCACTAATTCAGGATCTAATGATGGGATCCTAGAGAAATCGAGGGAAACCCTCACAATTATTAAAAATGTTTACTGATCTAGCACTAATTATACTTTATGGTAAACTATTCAAATTTGGAATAGCCACGCTATTACGTAGAAAGTTGATAGTTCTTCTAGGGTTGCTAACAGACGGAGACTTGGTAACTGGGTATTCGAATTCATTATGTAAAGGGCTCCGATGTCTTTGGATTACTAATGTAAATATCAGAAACTTAACTTCAGTACTTCAGACTTGTCTCGTTGAAAGTAACCAACACTTGTTGATAACGATCGACATGTTATATTTTGGAACGAGTCTGAAAATAGATTAATTGGTTATTGAGTAGTGACCCAAATGCAAATTCTCGGGTCGTTTACTAAGTCAGCCGCCGAAAACAAAATTTCTTTAAAATGGGAAATAAGGCATCTTACCGATACTAATAGGATGGTACAGCTGGTGCAGCTATACCACCTATAGGATTGTCTAAATGACTTGATAGATATTCGAGGAGTTATATGAGACAAGTTACTAAAAGATCCCTCCCTCTCTTTCACCCCAAGGGTCTGGCATCGCTTTTTTAAAATTTTCCCCTTTTGCAGTGCTATTCTCTAAGGAAATGGCCTTGCGTACATCGCTGCCACAGCATCTAATTTCAAACTAAGTTTAAGAAATTCGACGCTGTGGTAGCGGCGTATGCAAGGCTGTTTCCTTAGAGAATAGGACAGCTGCTCGTTTATTCCTTGTATATATTCTGTATACTTATTCATAGATAAAAAATGAAATTGTAGGCAAGTTTTAGTGTGGTTAGATAAAGCCAACTAACACATAGAATACCAGCAAATATAGTATTTTGTTATCTAAATAAAACTCATCGAAGCATGAAACACAATAAATTGTATGCAAATAAAAATAAATGTATTAAACCTGTTTTCTTTTCTTTAATTAATCCTGTTTTGCTAGCTTGTTTAAAATGACATAGAAGTTTATAACAGTGCTTGTATGAAAAAACCTTGTTTGAATAATATCAGCGATACATTTTGCTACTTTGTCCAGAGAGCACATTATGAAGCGTCAATTTTTAGTTTTTTTCTGTTTAGAGACTAAAAATACCCACACACGAAAATTGATGATCAAGTCCTGATGATCGTACTACAAAATTAAGATAGGACATTGTATTTCGAAAGCAGAATCTGAAAGATAGGTTACATTTGGCTTATGTAGGTAATAACATTATACACCATACAAAAAGCAAAAAACGACGTGAGGGGTCTATGGACAATCGGAACGAAGTTCCTTTCGCTTTTT